AAATGAGAATGGGAATGAGAATGAGAATGGGAATGAGAATGGGAATGAGAATGAGAATGGGAATGAGAATGGGAATGGGAATGGGAATGAGAATGAGAATGAGAATGAGAATGAGAATGGGAATGAGAATGAGAATGGGAATGGGAATGAGAATGGGAATGGGAATGAGAATGAGAATGAGAATGAGAATGAGAATGAGAATGGGAATGAGAATGGGAATGAGAGTGAGAATGGGAATGAGAGTGAGAATGGGAATGAGAGTGAGAATGGGAATGAGAATGAGAATGGGAATGAGAATGAGAATGGGAATGAGAATGGGAATGAGAATGGGAATGAGAATGGGAATGAGAATGGGAATGAGAATGAGAATGGGAATGAGAATGAGAATGGGAATGGGAATGGGAATCAGAAGCGTAATCAAAAATCGAATCCGTTCTCTGATTGGTTCAGCTAGAATGCCAACAGCCAATCAGAATGCAGAAATGTCACGGAAAATTTCACGGGACGGACTTTTCGAAATTATAATATAGATAATCAAATTAGGAACTGTCTCTTATCATAAGAGTCTTATGTGTCAACCTGCCTAAAAAATCACATATATTTACAAGTATGTCATTTGAAATAAATGAGATTCTACATAACACGAAGAGTACTAATTAAATGACCTATTTATTTCCAGACCTCTAAGTGGAGGAAGAAATAATGAGACCGTCTGTCTATGAAGGTCAATTTCCCATTTGTACGCATAGGCTATGTCTCATGGCCCAATTTAAATTTTAATGCGGACGTAAAGCGACCTCTAAACCTTAACTTAAGCTTAGTTTGACCTAGTTTTAAACGTCGGGTGTTGATTCTCTCCTTGTTTAGTTTGCTTGCGGGCAGTACTGGAATAGGAGGGTTTCAAAATGGATACAAATTTTGTCCTTAAATTTTATTTTGCTTTGGCTTTGTTCAAAATGGTCGCAACTTTTCCATCATTGAAAAAGTCCACCCTTCGTTTTTTAGACAATGGCGCATTCGGTGGTTGTTCTTTACGATTTATTAGAATGCAAAATAATAACACTGAGGACACTGATACCTTTAGCTGTCTTGGGACAAATCCAAGTACGATCCAGACACAGGATCAGGCTAGACAAACAACGACCCAGATAAGCTACCCGAACCCAAGGAAATTTTTAACCTGCCACGTCATTTTATTTATTATGCCGACAAAAATTCTACCAAACATAGATCTGAACCTAGCCTTTGCCCTATTTTGGAAGTACGGGCCCACATTTGTTATTCTTGTCACTTATGGGACCCCTACGTCGTACATTGACGATTTGAAACTATTCAAAATTAATTTTGCAACTAGGTTCATCCATGCAGATTGGCATAATGAAAAGTGGAAATTGAGCATGCTAAGTTTGACTTCTGCACACCACATAGATCTACCAGTATTTGGATCAACAACGATACCTGGACTGGAACACGTGTGGTATACTGCGAATAAGAACATGAATCAGCGCTACATAAAAAGCCGAGGAAACGGATGGACTAAACATTTCTCAGGGAGAAATTTACCACAAGATATTGGTACTACAAATCGTAAATTTGATACATTATACGTTAATTAATTATGAGTTGAACCACATTGATCTGCAGGTTGTGGGAATTATGCGGATGTTACGAAGCCTTGGAACTTTCAAAGGTGGAACCAGTGCACGCTGGCAGAGTTGCAGATAAGATTAAATGCGAGTGTATCAACTCCAACTGCCGAGAGGGAAGAAGAAGCTTACGGCGAGTTCGATAGTGACTTCCTCGGCATCGGCAACTTAGACTTGTTTGAGTGGCCAGCTTACGCCATCCTGTTCAACTCTTATAATTACTTCATTGTTGAGGAGTTAGACGCGTTGCTAATTTTCTCAAAACCGTTGGACGGGATAACATGGACAATTATATTAGCATGTATTCCCCTACTTGCAGGAATCTTAACAGGTGTGCTGAAACTACTAGCAAAATCGGGGAAGGGAGCCTTAAATTCGCCTATAGCAGCAGACATCTTCAAGACGTGGGTATTCCATCTGTTTGGTACACTCTTCGAGCAGGGCATGACTTTCAGTAAGGTTCTAGGTACGGGTAAAAAAACATTTCCCGTCGGGAAATCAGCCTCTGCTATTATGAGTATCTCCTGGATACTAATGCTGACTATTGTAATCAATGGCTATAAAGGCGTCCTGATAACCAATCTTACATCGAAGCCAGTCCCTGCCCTTTTCTCTGATCTGGCTTCCTTGGCAATATCTCCGCTAGAAGTTTTTTCAATGTCATATATGGCTCGCGGTAATAAATCCGTAAGCGTTTTGATTCTCCAGCTAGAAAAACTTGCCCAAGGGAATAACCAGTATCAACACCTGGTCGAGAGAATGCATCTAATTCGGCATGACCAAAACCAAAACCCGATAAAATTTGTGCTTGACGGGTCTCCAATCGCCACCAACGAGGGGAAGTTGTCCATTCCGAGGAGTTTTATCCTGATTGGTGCTACATGGCAGTTGGACGTTGTATATGGGGGTCTCCTATTCCGGGGTTTCAGTGATCGAATTATCCAAAAAAGTCCACCTTTTGATGAGTTCAAAAGTCGGAATTGTTTACGAATCAGGAAACAGTTTTCACAGCAAATGATTTCTCCCATTGTGGCTGCATTATATGAGTCGGGTATATTCGAATGGTGGCATGTGAATTATGATAAACATTACTTTCATTACGACTTGAAAAATGGGATTGGACTATTTAAAGAAGATTTGTCCAAGGATATTCCACTCGCTAGTGTAGACTACATTTTGCATGGACAGGATCCTCGGCGAAGGAAGAACGGAATTGAACGTTTCTCTCTGACTGATTTGATTTCCGTGTTTGCCTTGTTTGGAATATGGATCATTTTATCGTTGATTAGTTTTTTCGGAGAAGTCGTGTTTAAGACAAAAGTTATTGGGAATAAGAAATAAGTGTGCATTAGTCGAGTTCAGTGATACAAATTAAAGTAACAGGAAGCCAATAAAGGATGTATACATATATTTTTGTGCAGGCTTGAAAATGTTGGAGCCTTTTTGATATTGATGTGGCTTATTGTTGTAACCAGAGCATGGTAGGTTTTACATATTTATTATGCCATAGCATTTTGTGTATTTTAGAACTAATTGTAAGATATATGGCATAATTATTTATTAATGCGACAGAAAATTGAAGCAGAATGTCATTTTTATAATTGATCAGGATAAATTTTATTATTTTATTCACCCAATTGCTAATTATACTAGTGTTAGTAGATCCGAGCCAGCAGTACAAATCAGATCCTATCCGATCCGACAGATTTTTTGATCCGTCCATTTACTATAACATGAATCCGATCCATGTTATAGTAACTGGTCGGATTGGACATCCGCGGATTTCCATAACTATATACAAAACCTGCTTTTAATTTACTCTGGCTAAGCCTATAATGTAAATTAAATTATGGCATTAGTTAATGCACGCAAATAGTTAAATTCGTATGTTTCCTTTCTTCGCTGTGGTTTCTTTATTTAATTGTCATTTAATTTTTATTGATGTCAATACTTCAAATGAGGAAATAAATAATATTTTAAAACATTAGAATAAATAATTTCATTATTGTAGCTACGTCACATATTACATTAAGGTTTGATGAAAACTATTTATTATGCTATTGCGTTATATTAAATTTGAAAGGAAAGAAAAAAATGCAGCCCAAAAAGTCACATGAATGTATGTAAATAGGTATTAATGTATTTATTTATGAATAACAAGGGTATTCTTGTTATTTACTCAGTCGGAGGTGGTGTTAAAAAGAACTAAATATTACATTTTTATGTATTGTAGAATTGTCTAATTGCATTGTGCGGAGAATTATTTTTGATAATTCTAATCACAAATTACACTTCCACCACAGAATCTGTACATCCCTATACGCGTTAACAAAGAAGGAGATGGACACGTTGTTCAATTTGATAATCGATTACTATAAAAATTATCACGGACTCATAGTCCCAGCTTAGAATGTAAAACGCTCCCAATTTCATGAAGGTATGTGTTACAAATATGTATGTAAATTAATACTGGTTGTTTTCAGATTAATTATGTAATAATGTGTGCACATTTGGCTTATAAGATTATTTGGTTATAAAAGTATTAAAAAAGTCAATAGCATACATATTACAGGTTGGGTGATGGCTTGAGTGTAATAAGTTCGTCAGGCAAATATGTTTAATTATCTATTTCATTTCATTTCATTTCGGCCTTTATTTAGTGTAAATGGATATCAGTTTAACAAAAACTGGTTTAAAACCATGACACTAAATAGAGAATAGATCTAGAAAATGTAACATTGAGGATGGGAAATATGGTGAAATTTCGTCTCAGCCCAACCCATTCAATAAATATTTAAATAGGTATTTAGCAATGTCGGAGATTCTGAAAGGTAAATACTTACTTCACTTTAACTGACAAGTTCTTAAAAAATGTTGATAAATATGTCCGTGTTGACGCAAATTTGTAGATAAGAGATGTTGGAAGTTTTTACATATTTATGCACATTGCTATGACTCTTTTGAATAGCTATCTCAATTAGTAAAAAGACCGACCATCATATACGTATTACACACAGCACACTTACAATGGATCAAAGACACCGCATAGTCAGACATACCAAATTTGTATAATTTTGGGAGATTGAATGGTAAAGTATTTTATTCCATTGCGTGTTTACCGTGACTTGAAATAGCTTATGTAACTCGAGGCTTTAACCATGTGCGTTGTAACTGCAAACAAATTTATTTTGGTATAAACCTCATTAATGTTTTATGATTTTATTATGAAGAGTAAATTGTAAATGATTCTGTAAATTTATTATGTAATCCGCCGTTTAATAAATTATATAAGTAATAAAACTTTCAATCTGCGTCTGTATTTTATTGCGTCGTGAATATAAATACTGGACAACTGCGGGGCCACTGTTGTAAAATAGTTTGAGCAAATACTTAGGACAATATTCCACAGCTCCAAAATTCACGACATGTCACCGATAACTACATTTTACCTGATCGTACTTATTGGTTGCATTTTCTACGCCTGGCCTTCGGATGCAGGTTGTTATACCGTATGTTACCCAATGATGGCATGTGACGACGGTAAGTTAAAAAGAGTGCATTTGTTTTAGTTAAGGTACATATGTAACATTTGGGTTTTTTCTTCATGCAGTTTATAACAACGTGAATTGCCGTATCGAGCAAAATTGTATGCAAAAATGCTCCCCGGACTATAACTACACTTAAATCGAGAATGAAGAAATTTCTACAAAATTCAATCTAATGTTATAAATATTCAGCGTTTGAAATTGTGGATAATTGCGAAATAAATAAATTATGTAATTGTATTTAAATGTTTGTCGATCACCTTTAATTTGCCTGCATGAATTCATGCATACTACATATATCAGTTGATAAATTAACTGAATTTACGTACTTCCCTACAAATAGTCCGATAGAGCGTGGCTGGTCCGGGATTACACATATTTATTTACATCCACACATTTACATACTATCACATACATACATTTTGCTAGGTACAATGGGTTGTCATAAGTATTGGTGGTGTATTTGTCTCTCGGTACCGTTTAAGATATCATCGCCAAGGGATATCCATGGAATAAATCCTGGCTATGGTTTACAGCCAAACTAGTGGGCTAGAAAGTACATTAAACAGAATTTGAAAATCTGACTCCTTTCGCGGGAAATTAAAAAAAACTGTAAAAATTTCATAAACAAGGTTGCCAAAAGTATTGGTGGTGATTTATTTTTTATATGTAAAGACCACAAACTTTTGAATTCTGAGTCACCCGGTTAATATAATACTCTTTATTGTTCAATTGCATTAAAATTCTTCTAAAATGGTGTCAGCTCGCAGGTTCTGGATGGCTGAAAGGAAAGGCTGATCCACATGTGTGAAAGTGGGATTGGACCTATGCAAATTAATCTCCGGGCCCTAGTGTAACTTTGCACAGTTCCACATGTGGTTATAGCAATATATATTTTTAGCAATATATATATAGCAAATATATATATTATATATATATTCTTAAATCTATAGCAATCTGGTACGATATATTTTTGGGCTTATAATAAAATCTTACACAATCCCTGATTGCTAAAGTGCGTTCATTATGTAATAAAAAGCAGGGTTTCGTTAATGCCACTTTTGGAGGCCTAATGTCATGACATTGACATTAAGTGACAATAACCGACATTAAGTGACAAGTGACATTAAGCCAAATATTGTGGGAAAATGAGAGGGAAATCAACGCGGATCATGAGATTTTTCATCACAGTCGGTTTTGCTCAAGGCAAAATTTGTTAAAAATTCATCGTTTCTCATAACAAATTAAATAATTGTATATTTTATATTTGAAGTTATATTGTGGGGACGTAGATCAGATAGGTAAAACTTATCTTGTAAAAATGGAATTAACTATTGGATATGGAATACTGTTGGTATTGCGTTGCGCCTGTGTCAATTTGTACCTGTGCCAATTATATACACGAACTTATGTACATTCATTTTCACGGTTTATTAAGGGGTGAAAACCCCTTTATGGGAATGTCTTGTCTGTCCGTCCGTCTGTCCGTCCGTATCCACGATAACTTTAGAACGGATGCGAATATCGAGATGCGGTTTTCGCCAAAGTATTTCTAATTTTTAAATTACGGATGAGTTCGAATATGGGCGTTGTCGGTATTAAGGTCACGGCGCCATGGCGACGACGCCGTGTCGAATAGGTGTCGAATTTTTTGTTTCGACGGTTTTAGACGTATTTTGGGACGGGGATTTCCAAAATCGACATGTTTTTGACGTACGATGACCGTGTGACCGTGTAGACGACGCCACATGTCGAAAATGTCGAAATTTTTTGAGTTGACCGTTTTAGACGTATTTTGGGGCGGGGATTTCAAAAATCGTCATCATTTTGACGTACGATGACCGTGTAGACGACGCCATGTCGACAAACTGAATTATGTCATGTGAGGTGTCTATCGAAAGGCATAGTCGTGTACGTTCAAAGTAGGCGGGAGTTATGTCGACACGGGGCGAAATGAGACGTGGGGTAATGTGAGACAATTAGGGAAATTATTGAAAGACGATGTGGGTGTGCCACAAGGACATTTACGTGTGTTTTCACCCCTTTGCGACATTTCGTTTGCAACGGTTTATTTTTAATTAAAGGCACTAATGGATCACAATAAGAAGCTGTTGCATCAATCCACGAAGTTTAAGTTACCTCTATCTATTTAAGTTCATCTATCTTCTATCGTTTACTTCTATCTCATATTCACCAATTTATGACTTGATGTCACGTGTCACTTAGTGTCACTAAATGTCAAGTGACAACAACCGGTTATTGTCACTTAATGTCAGTCACTTAATGTCACTTGTCAATGTCACCCGAAACCTTGATAAAAAGGATATGACATCAATAACTGGCATTGAGTAACGTTAAAGCTGAAAACTAAATACTTATGTAAGCTATATAACTTTGACAGGGTATTGTGTTCTCTTTTAATTGTGAATGGTTGCTAATTTGGTTTTAAAAGCACGACGCCAAAGTATTAAGGATCACATGCTTCCTGCCTACTTACTACTTGAGTTTATATTACCAACTTTCTTAAGATATAATTTTGAGAAGGAAGAATTTTCTCATTATTCCTGCCGCCAAGATGGGTACTTTTAGATTACCAGTTATTTGGATTATATTTTATACTTGGGGGAGCATGGACTGTTTTGGTAATTCAGAATATCTATTATCTCGGACTCAAGTCCAGTTTAATTTTAGCCATCTAATTTAACTATTTCGTTTGACCGGATATCTTGGCAAACTGATTTTCCTTTCTAGCTCAGACCTGGTGGAGATGTAATTCCGGAGACGAAGAAACATCTGCCTGCTTCGACAAGCATTTTGACGGTTGGGGTTACTACAGGTCAAACCCAGACTGGTGTCTTCTCGGAGACTCGTCCCTTAACACGAGTTCTTTTGAGGGTTGCTGTGGTAAAAATGGGTCAACTAAAAGCAAAGATATTTTTACGGCTTACAATAACATAATTGACTACTTGGATGCTGACATAAAATCGAAGCTGGTCCATGAAATTGTGCTGGCGAGGAATTTAGATTGTTCTCAAATTGAGCAATGGGGCTGTCAAACCATTTCAAATGGGACGTACGAGACAAACGATACAAAATCTCTGAACTGCTCGATAAAAATTCAAACAGATGGTACTTCCCGAGAGGACAATGTAACGTCTGGACTGAATTGTTTACGTTACAAAAACAAAGTAACTTGCCAAATAGAAGGGCAATCTGTTCTCGAGAAATTTAAAAACTGTTGCGGTGATGATCAATCAATATTCAGAGAAGTTTTACCAATTAACTTTGACCATCGCGCTAAAATAGAATCGGATGACCTTGCAGAGTACAAAAGGGTAAGTGCGAGTGACGTGGTGTACTCATGCCTAAATAGGAATGGTCGCTCGTATGACATAACTCCCATTTGTGGTCAATTAACAAATTCGTCACACTGCTGGTCCGGCTCCGATGGGCGGGTGTGGTGTCATTTGGAGAAGAAGAAGAAAACTATTCAATGGCTCGGTGTGAAATGGAATGTGATATTTTGGTTTAAACGATGTTGCGGAGGAGGGGATAAATGGAGGGATAAATTAGCTAGCGAGGTAGCGCCCCAAGAGGATATTGCCTTGACGACTAAAAAGAAGGTACCTGTGATCAAGGTGATGACGTGCACAACGACAATGGCGACAACTAGCAAGCCATCCAGTCGCCCTGTTCAACGGGTACGCTCAACAACATCTAAGCCAGGAGTAACATCAACGCGAGAGTCATTCAGGAATCGGCCCCACCGGGGACATTATTAGATGGCTTCTCAAATATGTCATTCAAATCACGAATTTTTTTGTATGTGCATATACACAAAATTCGCTTAAGTTGCTTGTTATTTATGTTAATGTATTACTTAAGTTTCTTAAATTGTACATACAATTATTTTATTAAAAAACCTGGGGTAATAAACCTTAACATTTTAATTTTGTCTGAATAAGGAATTATGTATTTCTAGAATTTATCATTCGTAACTATGCGTGATTTTTTTTAGTCAAAAATTAAGTTCATTAGGTATAAATTAAACAAAATTCGCACTTTATGTCAATACTTGAAAGGTGGCCCAAATGTATCTCTCGGGTAATTTTTGCGCGAGTTCGAGATAAAAATTGGCTGTAATTCTTGAACCAGTGAATATTTTAATTTGAAAAATTTTACCATGAGAGGTCCAATATATTGGACCTTATTAGCCTTACGGTGCACCGTAAGGCTATAATCTTGTAGAATAATATGGTCAGGTTTAGGGATGCAACGAGTACTCGGTTGGACTCGGTACTCGGTGAACTCTGTGTATTTTTGGTGGACTCGAACTCGGCCGAGTTTTTTTGGTACTCGGCCGAGTTTTGCTATTATCATTTTCTAGTAAAATAAGAGAAATGGAAGATGAAAATGTATAACACTACTCCAAATTTTGATCTCTTATAAAAAGAGGGTACAAAAATAATTATTTTGCTGTTTTTAGTATAAATTTTTGCATTAACGACGTTTTCCTTTGGGTAAGTTGTCAATGAGTGAAAATGAACGTTATGATTGCCGTATTTTCGGGTGAGAGTAAGATTTAACTCGGTTTTTCGAGCGCTCGATGACCGAGTTTCACCGAGTACTCGAACTCAACCGAGTTCGAGTACTCGGTCCAAAATTTGGCCGAGTACTCGAACTCGACTCGGTTTCAAAATTTCGGACTCGTTGCATCCCTAGTCAGGTTTATGTATGTAAGAAGCATGATAATTTTGTATGTGAAGAGGATTTCTTTGCACTCTTAGCAAAAATCGTTACCAAATCATTACCGGGCGGAGTGCATCTTTGACCCTACCGTATTTGCAATTAAATCATTACAACTTGGAATTGATTAGAAACAATACCAGCACTATAACGATATATAATAATATTTTGTAAAAGTTAGCACTGAAGGGATATAGTATTCAATTCCCCCCTAACAAAACATGCACAATGTAGAGATGATTTAATACAAGAGCGAGTAAAAGTTAACACAATTTCGGTGTAAAGTTTTTATTAACCGGTAATATTTTTACTACTGTTGATTTTGTCGTGTTGCTTTTGTTTCTGTACCAAATCGATTTGTGATGTTTCTTACGTGACAGTAATGAATCGTCAAAATTTTATGTACAGTTTAGTAATGATAATTTTTATTTTATAGCTCCCCAGCGTAGCAGAGGAGCTATTGAATTCCTCTTGTCCGTCTGTCTGTCTGTGTGCTAACGAGTTTTTTCATCAATTGATGCTAATTAAAATGGAACACTACCATTTTTAAATTACTTTGCAGCATCATTGATATCGAACAATCTGGAAGTCGAAATCGTGCAAAACAATTGAGGGAGTAGATGCAAAAGGCACCAACAGTGCAGAAAAACCGGAACAAATTACTATATTTTTTACGTCAAGTTTGTTGAGATTTTGAGATTATATATCAAAATTAAGGATTCATTTTAATCGATTAATTTTCACCATTGGTGCAAAATTATATCATAATTATGTATATCTTTTGTCCGACTATCCTGCATCATTAATGGAAAATTAAAACAAAATTGTGTTACACAATTTGTGTATCTATTTTATCCGCTTATCCTGCACCATTGTTGCACAATTATACCAAAATCATTATTACAGTCTGTAATTTACAGGGTGAACTACTTCTAACGTTACAACGGTTTATTTTAATTATAGAAAAACCACAATTTGAATTAAGATATACTATGAACGAAGTTGACTGGATGTTGGGGCACTAAATATATATGTATTTTAAGTTACAAAATGTGAATTCATTACACTGGCCGCATTCGAGAGTGCAACATATTGGCAAGTTTAAGGGCAAAAAGCAAACCAATCTAAATCTATTTGGTGTACTGAAAATTAAGAGAATTTGACTCAATTTTAGCAAATTTAAATTTGATATTAAATCGCTACTTTCTCTACAAAACGGTCAGGTCTTTTTTTGAGCACTTTGGTCATAAAGTTTGGCACTTTGAAGAGCTTTTACGCCGGGTAGGGTAATCGTGCTTTCTACAAATCTAATAATAATTTTGGTTCCTGGGGCGTTAACTTCCCAACGATTGCTTGCTCTACTTTGCATGAAAACTTCGACATTGTTCTTGACTACTGAATATTTCTAGTTGTTCTTATATCTTTTTATGTTTTTTAACCATGGAGAGAACAGAAGGGGATAAGATAAAAAGTATTTTGAAATTTTCACATTGCATCCTCTTCCAATTTTAATTAACTTTCTCATTCTCATTTCGAGGCCGGGTACAACAATGATAAGCGAGAATATTCCCACGAACTTGCAGGTTTAAAATTTGCAAAATTAAGAAGAATGTAATGTAGGTTTATTGATATTTATGTGTGATCTTTATAAACATGAGCGTTTTCTGAAAAAAAACTCCGATTAATTTTGCTCTCTTTGTTTCTTGTTTTCACTACTTATTAAGTATGTGGTTTATACGAAAATTTGAGCTTTAAAAAAAATAAGCTTAATACTACTTAAAGACTACTATAGGGTGCATAAACTCCAAAAGATTTGAAAGCTATATCTCCGTTAGTTACGCCTTTAGTATAATTTCGAGGTTCCCTTACCCGAACAATTTTGCTCCTTGGTGTACATGCACGACATCATTACTTGTAATTTCGATCCGCAGAGTGAAATAAGATCGCAAGACAAAGATAATTTAAAAAACAACATTAAAGCCACACCCTGTCCAGCTTCAAATTTCAATTCCTTTTCATAAATACGTGTATCTTATAAACTACTATGCGATGTTCATTAAAATTACGTAAATTGGAGGTTTAAATTATTTAAATTCTTTCTGTTTCTTTGTTTTGTTTATTCTGAATTTTTGGAATCTTGGTTATTACAAAATTTCCAATAACCATGCATGTACATATGTACTAGAGTTTTCTAAATTTAAAGTTAACTTCTAATTCATCTAAAATTGAATGGAAATATAATAATAATTATCGAATAATTATCGAATTTTAAAGTTACTTTTATACCTACCGAGCATTCTGAATTACGGAGATGCACGTACGTACTGCTGACACAATAATGGAGCTGGCTACATTTAGATATTGATTGACTAACGGAATGCTTTAATTATTTAAAGATTATAATTAATTTATAGCTGCAAAGCTGTCGGCCAGGCGGGTGCGGTGGCTCCATCCATTTCTGTAGCTAATGTATTATCCGCCAGTAGTGCGTGGCTTTGACCACCTAAAAATTTTCTTAAATTTAAATATGAAATTATCACATGTCTAAAAAAATATGATGACCGTAATATATTTTTTTGCCAACCAATAGCTGCTCCACACTCGTTGCATTTGCCCGTCTCCATTGCGCCGCCACACTCTCCAATCGAATAAATGTGACCATTCGGACACTTGAACCAATGACCTTTCCCCATTCCAAGAGCGGCCAGAATTTTTATTCGTTCCCCGTCCGAAATACCGAGCCCCGTTTGGCATATGTCCTCCAATTTCTGGGTAATACATGACCAACATAGTTTCATACTGATGTCTGGTTAATTAACCAATTAATTACCTGCAACCACTCCAAACACCGTTTCTGCCTTTCTACCGTATAAAGCTCAAAAGAGCCTAAGATTGTTTCCACTCGTTCGTAAAGGATGCTCACATCATCACGCGATTTGTACCGGTGAAATCGGCACAATTTGTAACAGTGGATAATTCGAGTCATCTCTTGTTCTAAATTTGTGGTTTCAAATCGACTCAACGGAAGCTTTCGGTGGTGGATGAGTTGGTCGAATAAACGGTTGCATATTGTCATAAATTTAATAACTATAGGATCATCTGTATGATTCTGTAGTTTAATTTTTTCTAAGTAACGCGACAATTTGTCACCCACTTGTATAATAATGGCCAAGCTGTTGAGAAGGTGGCTGTCAATCTGTGATTCAATAGAAATTTGTGATGATCAGTTGTTTTAATGAATATTGATATTCCTACAGTTTGGCAGATTATTATGTAGTGCTTACAGATTTCAATATGCGAGAAGACCCAGCATCCACGCGAAACATTCCAGTTTTATGGACTTTCTCCGTCAGTAAATTCAGCACATATTCCTGCATCTCTTGAGGAACTTGGGCGACCCATTTTGGTTTTGAAATTATTTTCAGCAACCCTGCATGAACTTGTTGAAGGTGTTTCATATTTCCAAAAATTTTTTCAGTAACTTCTCTAACTTCGCTGAACAGTTTATGCAGAATATTTCCGAAACGGCGACAATTGCGAATTACAGTTTGACATCGGGGACATCGTTTGACGCCAATTTCGTCATCACCACCGTCATTTGTCTTCACTGATAAGAATTTTTCAAATCCGATTGCTTCATAGCAGTGACCACAATCCGGAAGCCAGACAAATCTTTAATTAAATTAATATCTGATTTTATAAATTTCATATTTAACAGGGGGCAAGTTTTACACTTGTTACCTTACCTAGAATCTGGTTCACCCTCTGTATACAGTAGCTGAAATTCTAGTAATTCGTTTAAATCACATTCTCGACAGAGTGGCGGGCAAGGCTCGCCACAGAATCCGATACATGGGTGTCCACACTTGGGTAAAATTTTAGGGCAGGGTTCATCACAAGGGGTTCGGTCGCATTGTTCCCCGCATAATTTTGTACATGCTTTATGTGGACATTTCCAAGAACAAGGTTCCTGCAATAAATGTTATACGATTATTGCAAAACTCTACAAAAATATGTATTACATTTTTTGAAATTATTCCAACCCTGCAAACGGAACAAGGTCTTCCACAACTTTTTGAACATACGGAATGTTCGCATTTCATACCGCACGGTTTTGTACAAGGCGGACATTCACTTGAACATGGAAATTCGCACCTAAATAAACAAGAAACGTTGAATAGTTTACAATAAAAAGTTTGAAAGATTCATTTTTTTATCATACACATGTCCACAGACAAGAGAACGGCCACAGGGAGAATCACATTTGACGTGGAAACGTCCCCCTGAACACGATCCACAAGTTCCGCTGCATTTGTGACCACAACCCCCATACGTTTCTGGAAACGTATAATCACATTTTTGTCCGCAGTAGGCAAGAACTTCGTCGGGTGATACTAGAAAAATTAAGTAATATTAGTGTAAGCCTGTTTTATTTTATTCTTAGGTAGGCGGAAGAAACGTGTTAAAGAAAAAACTGTTATAATTTCAACGAAACCTACTCATCCAACTTAAAAATGCGAAACTAGATTTCTCGAAATTGTCTAAACACGCTCAAAAATAAATTTAAGCATCAAGAGTGAATGAGTAAGTTTTGGTAGTTTTTTCTATGAACTGGTTTTCTGGTTTTTAGTGGCAACTAACTAGGTATTTTTGTGTTTTTCGTATGGTCTGACTATGTAGAAATTTTACTTACGCGTATTTGCAACATTGCAAGGAACACTGACAGTATGACCACATGACGATCTATTTCTCGACTTAACCAATGTTTTACACTTTGATTGATCTGGTATTTCACTGCACGAGAAGACATTGACATGCCCACAGGCAGGAACGGTGTGTGGTGTTGGAACCTATACAGAATAAATCGAAACCAATATTATGCACATTCAGACCTGGATAATCTCCTTAAATTGTCATTGTACTTCGCAAGGTCCACAGTTTTCGCCACAATTTTTATCACATTCATGACCACATTGAAGTATTCGATTGCAGACTTGTTTACAATTTTTATACGTTGCTGGATCTACGTGACATGATAATTTTGCAGAGTGTCCGCATGGCAAGTCCTTTTTCTCAGGTACAGTGCAAACAGGACATTTTTTAAAGCACTCGTGCACTGTGGCACACTTATGACCAGACTTGCACTCACGAACACATTTCTTTGTGCACTTATAATTCTTATGGTCAGGATCGTCCTCTATATGACACGTTCTGGGGCAAGCATGCCCACAATCCAGTCTTACTGTGCACTTGTTTCTGCAGATGGTTTTAATGTTCTCATTATCTTTATCTTTACAAAGGATGGTTACCTGAAAGAAAGAAATAGGAGTACCTTGATTTACAGCCAGAAACTTCACAAGTATTAATTTATCATACTCACTTCATGCTTGCATGGAAGCACTTTTTTCACGTTGTTGTGACATTTTACTTCTTCCACAGATAAATAGCAAACGTCCATTTGGTCATGGCCGCACGGTAGATTTTTTATGATTTGTGTCTTACATCGAGTTTCACTCTCATCCTCGTGACATTTCAATCCCTTCGTATGTCCGCAGGGTAATAATTTGACCTCTTCGACTTGACATTCATATTTTTCTGCGTTTATGTAGCAAGCCATTGGTGTAAGGTGTTGGTTGCAGGGCGGCATTTTTTCGACTAATTCTTCACATTGAATTTTTGACTCATCCTGAAAATCAGCCAATATTAATTTAACCGTTCTGAGAAATAATTCAACTTAGGATTGGTATTAATCTACATACCGTGAAGCAAGGAATGGGCGCAGTTACGTGCCCGCATCGCAGGATCTTCTGAACTTTTACGTTACAGATTTGCTCTTCCCATCTATCTCCACAGGAAACGACTTTTGCATGTCCACATGTCAGGATCAGAGTGACATCGTATCGACAAGGAGTGCAAGGCACAACATGACAACGATCCCTGCATGGATGTGCTTCTTCTTCAGGACAGGTTTTTACACAGTCTTCAAAACACTTGACATTGGCGTGCGAAGGATCCTCGATATGACACACGTATGTACATTTATGGTTACATAGTGGAAGGTCGGATTCGCAGCGGCGAGTGCATCCTCCTCGTGGCGCCCGGGTGTGAAAGTCGACTCCCCTCGAAATTTTTTCAACAGTTTTGTGATTCCTGCAAATGATGGGAAGCCCGTCTCCCAACCTGTCTGGACCCAGCTTCTGTTTAATTTTTGGCCAAATCTTGCTACCTTGCGAGAGCATGTCCATATTTCCAACGATGTACATTCCTAGCCTGGTACATAAAATAGAAAAAAAATTACATCACGGTTGTGAATTTAATAAATTAAAACTCAAACTTACTTCGCTCGCGATAGTGCGACACAGACTCGATTTTCCACCTTCAAAAATCCTACTGCTCCCTCTTCATTACTTCGTACAAGGGAGAGTAGAATTATGTCATTTTCCTCCCCTTGGAAATTATCCACGCATGTTATCCTAACCCCAGTGGTTGCATCCATTCCTCGAAACTTTGCCTTTAAGAGAAACATTTGACCTGTGTATGTAGCTAGCACTGTTATCTTCGAAGGCGAATATCCCTGATGGATGAGATATCTGCAAAGTCCGAGTAAATAATCGGCTTCGAATTCGTTAGACTTGCTCATAGAATCTGCCTCCTGTAAAAATCATTATAATGCTGAATATTCATAAACTTTGGTTGTTAATAAATTTAGCTCACGCAATTTTCCAGTTCTCCGTGCGAAATGAAAAACAGGTTTTGTATCATCCCAAGAATATCAGGATAACTAAGGACAGATGCAGCGTCAGTTAGTTCTGGATAGATTGTTCCACGAACGAGATCAACTATCTCTGGTCGCATTCTGTGTTGTTCCTGATAAAGTTATAAAAACGATTAGTAGAAATAAAAATTCATGATAGAAAGGCTAGTAAAGACATACTTTTAGTTTATACGACATCAACTTATTTTTGATCATCCGCTCAAATAAGGACACATCCAGCTTGTATGTTTTTGACAGGTCATATACTGTCGTAGTTGGTTTCAATTGGCGATGGTCTCCTAAATACAGTGGGAAGAGGAAAAGGGTAAACCTTGTCACAATTTCAAAAACTAGATTAATTGTCATTTCTTAAAATTACCAATTAGGATTAGATGTTGGCAACTTTTTGTTAGACATGTGACAATGTGAGACTCTTGAACTTCTGCTGCCTCTTCTACGATAACTGCAAGTTCGTGAAATAATAACGTGATCATTTTAATCTTAGTTTATAATGTAGTGGATTATATTTCTACCAACCAATTTTTGAGTTCAAATTTTGCAAGATATCGTAATATTTTGCAGCCCCAGTTGTCGTCATTCCAACCACTTTGCAATGCTTTAAAATCTGACTATCACCGTATTTCCGAATTTGTGCTAACTTCCTCTCAGCTATAATCAGCTCGGGTTCAAGTTCTTTGCGGCGTTTGTTTAGTAATTCTTTTGACCGCTCAATTACTGTTAGGTAGGCTTCCCATCTGCACGATCAAATGGATTATTTAACACTATAATCATGTAAAGAGGTTAAACAAATTTCTTTACCGAGAAACGACTGATGGGAAAATTTTTCGCCACGGCTTCTGGGAACCCCACATTTCTCGGAACGTTTCGTGCACTGTTTCTTTGTCAATTTTCATATCTTTTAGACGAGGTAGTATATTCTCCAATAGGCTGATTCGATTTTGGTTCAGCACTTGATACATTCTTATAAACTGGATCATTTGATCATTCACCCCTTGATCGGTCCCGGTGTTTAATTGAATGTTTCCTAAAGCAGTCATCAATTCTGCTTCTAGCTTTGACCTCTTCTTCTTGCAATCTATCAATGACAGGTTGTCAAGGAAGGTTAGCACATGCGGGTGTCCATGCTTATTGCTAGGGCTGAATTCGCGTCTTTGGTAGTCATCCACCATTCGGGTTGACATCAACTCGGCGAGATCGTAGTCTTCTTTTTCAAATTGATCGTCCTCCGCGACCTCTAATGTCACTAAAATCACAAACCGTGTAACAACATTATTTAGATATTACTTTCCAGTCTGCGATATTACTTACCTTCTTGGGTTTTCTGGGCCAACTTTGAATTTGGATTTCTACCAAACCAAGAATTAACCAGAGCATTGGCATCTAAGTTTGCATGTGAGAGTAATGTGTCATTAAATTCGAAGAATTCTAGTGATTCCAATAACCCCCATAAGTATGATGGAAATTCAACACGTAATAAGTCCCATACTGCGAGGCCACGAAAATCCACAATTCCTGTCAGAAAAAAGAAATTAATTCATATTAGTCCAGCGGAACTTTGATCCACACCAGTCGGCCATGGGAGCTACAAATCCCCGTTCTGGACCACTAGCCGGTGCCCCCGTGAAAAAATACAAGTTCCCATAATAATTTCTAATGCTTCTACTTTCTAATTTCTCTAGTTCTACTTCTGTCCGTTGCACGCAAACTTTTCAATATATAAGATAGTTTCTAATAAATGATCAAATTCGTACTTAACCTTTCATTTCTTTAAGTTCTTTGAACTGTGCTTTTAAATAATCGACTTGATATCCCAAATCCTGTACGGCCTGGCTGGCTCCGCGACGCATATCATACTGGGCCTGGGATTCGCTCCAACCGCCACGTTTTCTGACATTGAAAAGCTCGAATTCTTTAAGCTTTTCAGACTTGCTTCTGCTTCCTAGACGAACAATACTAGTGGTGCAACCGCGTACAAATTCTCGTGTTTTGTTTTTGTCTTGTTCCTTTAATATTTCCACAATTCCTTCAAGGAATTGGTCCAAGGCGTGATTTGTATAACAAACGACAATCATTGGTCCAATTTTCTCGGAATGTACGGATTCTTTAGTCATCCATAGGTCATGATTTTTAAGCAATGTTTCCGCTATTTTCAACCCTATTAGATGTATGGAAAACACAAAATGAAATAAAATCTATTAGAAAAATTTAAAAATATTTCCTACGAAAATGATTACACTACCTAAATAAGTCTTTCCTGTTCCCGGAGGTCCTTCAATAATGACAAATTCCTTCATTATGGCCGCTTGAAAGCCGGCAAATTGATTTTCGTCCAAACCTAAGGTATCTCCACATGGCCAGTCGGTTTCAGTTAATGGATTAATCATCATGATTCCGTCTTCCTCTTCGGCGTTCCTGGGAGGATGATTTATTTTATCCAATTTTATCAGCAGTGCTTCTATGTAATCGTCATCCTCCCAGGAATCGATCAACTTCACCTGTTTCAACTCTTCTTCAAGTGGATTGTCGAGTTCATCAGGCTTATCTGGTTTGGATGGGACAACTAGTTTAATTTTCTTTTGTTCATTATCATTCTCATTATTTGCTAGATATCCTGGCGCCAAGATTTCGGAGCTAGCACCAACCACAAATTTTGCCATAGGAAAATCCCCTAATTCCAAATTTTGTAGGGTTTTGAGGACATATCTGTTGCAGAAAAATGGAAATTTCAACCCGTAATGTAATTATATAATTTTGTAGCATACTTCTAATTTACCTATAAGCTTCAAAATAGACTTCACTCTCTATCAACATAAAATTATCCGTGTCATTATAACTGGGTGGGTCTCCCTCTGGAATGAACGATAGTTCCCCAGACCTCTTCAATTTGTCAGCATCTCGTATCCCAACAACACCGAATGAACCAGTTTTAAACGCATCCTTCGTGAGAACCAGTAACGAGCCGGGAAGGAGACGCTTAGATCGGTCCCATTTTACTTTACGAGTAAATTTTTCAGGTAAACGGAGCCAGAAATGGGTCACTCCGTGTAGCAATTCTGATCCAAGGATTTGCACATTGTTGTATATTCGGATGGATCCTAGCGGCATTTTTTTCCTTCCTTGAGAATATTCCAGTCTAAAATTTAAGCCAGATTATTTATATCAGACAAAATAACTATATCGTCGTACTAATTCCAAGGCTTAAGTGCAGTTGATGTTTAATTTTAACTTAGGCCTTTTTAGAATTAATGCGACGACATAATCTAAATATGGGGGAAAGAAATCTGCGGAATATTGTAACTACAAATACCACATTTTAATTTGTCGCTAAATGGTAAAAATAATTTCCGCCAAATTCAAATTTATTATTATCCAGTAATAACAATGAAACTAGATAAACTGTAATAAATTTTTGCAGAAATTTGTACTAACTAATTTGTACCAGCGTGGCATGCATACTATCCATTGCATAGTATAATACTAATTTCGGAATTATTTTTATCCTTATTTTGAGGGTATGAAAATTACTATCAACTTTAAACTGTCTTACGGGTGACGTAAAAATTCTTGAACGCCCGATCGTAACGGAGAAACGAAATCTTCTCTCATGAGTCGGAATTGAATATCCAGATAATCCAGCGAACTCGCGTACGCACCCTGGACTTTGTTCCGCCGAAGGAATACGTCCTCTCGACGTTCCCTCATGAGTTCTTCCATTGTTGGGATGATCGTCATTTCCCGGTAGTTAGAGGGTGGTTCCATAACGTCCAAATATTTCCACTGATCCTCCGAGGGCCCATGCCTAAATACACGAGTGAGTAGGGTCAGTTTGGCAACGAATAAACAATTTCAACAACAAGTAAACCCTTTCGGCAGAAAATTTTCCCCATAAATGCCTTGTGGCGAAAATGCTTTCAACCAAATCTGACGGAAATTTCGACATCCGGTTAGGGCATCCAAAATCGGTTTTTCCGATTTTGCAAAACCGGTTAAAAACCGGTGTTCGATTTACCCGAAAACCGGTTTTAGATTTTGTCAGAAAACCGGTTTGATCAAACTCGAAAACCGGTTTTCGATTTTTCATAAAAATTGTTTCGAAGCCACTAAATATTTAACATATCGTCGGCTTAGTGAGTAATCTAGCTAAGTCCAAAACGCATCAAAAATAAATCCAGTCAAGTCTTGTACAAAATAGGTGGACTTGACTTGATTTCTTTTTGACGCGTTTTGGACTTGACTGGATTTATTTTTGATGCGTTTTGGACTTAGCTGGATTACTCACTAAGCCGACGATATCTTGTTTTTCATATATAAATTGAATATTATGAAATATTTCTTCCAAATTAATCCCTGAAGTTTGTCATACTTTAAATTTTACCAAATCGTATATAAAAATTTTTAAAAATTTGGTGTAAATCCGGTTTCAAAAACCGGTTTAAAACCGGTTTTGGAGAAAATCGAAAACGGGATTTACGAAAATTTTAAAAACCGGAAAAATCGAAAACCGATTTTACAAAATTTTGCCAAAATCTGAAAAATCGAAAACCGGTTCTACAAAATTTTCCGATTTTTGATGCACTACATCCGGTGCTTTCCTGTTTTTTACCACTTTGGCGAAAGTTTTTTTTAGGCCAATTTGGCTGTCGCAAAACTGACGGTGAATTGTAATAATGGGAGCCTAATATAAATGATTTTTTATAGTAAAATATATACTGATCGCAGCTGTGTAAAATTAACCATATAAATATACGTAATTTTCGTAATTTAGACGAGTTTGACATCTGAAGTATGGTTTTACGTGGTTAGTATTAACAGAATAATGTCATGTTATAAATGTTATGACGTCAATTTGTCAATTTTTTGTCATAAGCATTACATCTTCATAATGTATGACATTTATGACAAATATCACGGGCATTTATGAAATTTATCATAATTGTGAATCTGACTTTGCCCATACCCTGGTATTCAGCCTAAAACTTTTCTTTCCAATTGCAATCCCACGAGTTAACAAATGTTCTTGTGGTATCACCATTAAGTTATAGATATTTATATAAGTCCAACGTCAATTATTTATGCCGCAGCAGTTGTCGATCATGTGTCACTTGGGTAAAATGAGCTAAAAAATGAAAATTTCGTGATTGTCGATGACATGTTGACAGACAATTTCGAATTTGACGACTTGTCAAAAATGGCCGGATTTTCAATAAAAATGTGTGCCATTTATGCCATTTATGACATGTCATAATGTCATAAAAAGTTGACAATGTAAAATCCTAATTCGGAGTATTCATCTAGGAACTACTTGTAAGTCGGACAGTTTGGCGAAGATTTTTTTGGCGAAAACGTTGACCCAAACAAAAATCCCTTATGGCGAAAAATAAACGTCACCCATTTTGAACTAATTCAGGCACAAGGTTTTTAAGGTACAATTTGGTAAAAACATGTCACATTTGGCGAAAACAAAGATTACTTGATGATAGTATCACATAACTATGCTCGATGTTTATTTTCTAGGTGAAAGGGGCTTATGCTCTTCATCCCAAGATAACCAAGAAAGAGTGCTACAAGCTATTCTTTAAGTTTGTAAAAGTGTCAAGTATTATAATTCTTCTCAAATTATTTTAGATTTCGAGGTCGCTGCAATTTGTACTCTGTTTAAAAAAAACATCTTTTACGAAAAAAAACATGGCATGCAGGGTTTCGTTTTTCCCGTCCAGAACTATTTTTCCCACGGAAGGTGAGAAAAAGTGGGAAAAAGTGGGAAAAATGGTATTTACCGTCCAAAACGGGAAAAATGGCGGCCCATGTGTTTAGTAATGGGGAAAGCTAACTTCTTTAATACTCAATATTTTCGGAATTCGACTTCATATTCGTCATCTCCATCAAATTCTGAAAATTTTGGTATATAATACGGCCACTTTTGAACAGTTTTAAATAATTTTGAACTTTTTCCCTATTTATCCATATGAATACATGTTAATTTTAAAGATTGCTCGATTTTAACCGTATGACCCACTTATTTGCTCAGAATTTCATGGAGAATACGAAAATGAGCTCAGATTTTGAAAATATTAGGTTTCAAAGAAGTTGTTACAAATTGCCCCAAAAGCACATTTTTTTCCCATTTCTTACATTATCCCCATTTCCCACCTATTTTGGGTGGATGGTAAAAATTTCGCCATTCAGTACATTTGTGATATTGTTTGCCACTTTGGCGAAAATTTTTTATGGCAAAAGGGGTTTCACCAAACCGTCCTACAATCATGTTCTTATTGTTAGCAACAAAATTTGTATGTGCTGGTTTACAGAGTTCGGAAAATATCAATCTTTCCTGAAATGACTAAGTTAGGCAGCCAAACTATTTGTATATTGCGATAAAAGCATACACATTCTTAATGAATACCCCTATCAAGTTATTTAAACAATTAAATATACAAATTTAATTTGCCATTATATTAAAAAAATTGCAGAATATAATTGTAGAATTGTAAAATAGAGTGTCTATAACTTATCATAAAACCAATGTTAATACAAGGAATTTACCCATACCTAGTTTTGAGCACTTGTTTCACTTCTTCTCTCTTAGATAACGTATCCAACTGCAAGATAAGCTCTTTCAACGGCACTTCAAATTCCGCCACGGAGATATCCACGCCCTTAATCGCCATCACCAATCCGTACGCCGTTGTAAGAACGGTATTCTTTAAAAAGTCCCGGGCACTTTCAGGCATCCGTTTTGTCGTGAAGGAACAGAAGGTAAAAACGTCATGAATAAATCCCTTCGTTGTGGTGTCAAGTCCCCTGCAAATAAATAATTTAATCGTAAATACAATGATTTAATAAATCACACAGACTTATTAAAAATTAAAAATTTAATTTAATTAATTCAATTAATTTAAAATGTAATTTAATTTGTAGAAATTTATTTATCCTAATTCTTATTTATTTACGTGTCAATATTTTTCTCCGAAATTGTCCCACTTGCTCCAGAACTTGCTCCAACTCCAGAAATTAACAATTCTCCCAATTTTTGTCGAATTTTATCCAGAAACTTTTGTGCATTCAGGGTCAACACGATAATCGTGGTTTGATCCGAGGTAAGAAGAATTTGTTCCGAGCAGACCTTTCGCCCCAGCAGGAACATTACCATTCTGAGCAGAAGACCATCATCTCCCACCCTACGGGGGAAATGATGGGATCTGATTCTAAAAACTTGGTCCATTCGTCCCCTTCCCGGGCGATGGTCATGATACACTTGTCGTTATCTTTTTCCAGTAGGAGTCCTTCCACCCATCGGAATCCCAAGATGGGACGCCTGCTAAATGAGTTAATAACAGTATTCAATACGAGTTGGCATATTCGCAAAATATTTTGGCAACTTTTAAACCAGGCAGGGAGATGGATACATTTTCGCAAGTAATTTCTCAAGCGACAAATTAAAATTTGTGAACTTTGTCATGCCACAAAATATTTAAAGTTGACAAGATTCGCAAAATTTTTGTGGCTAAGGATATTGAATACCCCTATTACTATTTTTTGTATTTGTTCCTACTTTTTATTTTGGTATGTCGCTTCTCGATTCGGAACAGGCACGTCTGAATTTTTACCCTCAGCTCGAACATTTATGCGTTTCCGTGAAGTAGATAATGATGGTCCGTCCCTTTCTGGATCTGTATTAGGTCTTCCCCGGCCAAATCCTCCGGTACCCCACCCCCGCCCCCTGGATCCTCTTTCACTCCAAGATTGTGATGAGGACGGTGATTGCGGATTTCTTGAAACCCATGACCTCCCTCTTGAACCTTGACCCTGAATGAAATCGTCACTCGGCTGTTTTTGTCCATGAAATCTACGTTGCGGAGGCACGTAGGTATCTTCCGACATAGCTTCTAGCACTCAATTAATTTCGTATGTATGAAACACTGGAAAAGATGTGTGAATTATTAGCACGTCCAACCCAAACGAAACGTTTATCAGTACTAACTAATGGTTAAAACGGAATAAATTGTATTTGTGCACAATTTAATTTTAAGCGAAACGTTTATTCGTTTATTCATATCTTCAGAACTGAATGATAACAAGGACACATGTACTGACTTCAAGTTTCGACTTATACCGACTGAGTTCGTCGGTGCGGAAGCGTTTAAATATTATGTCATGAGTTTAATGGGTGGGTGGGAATTCTGTATCCCTCAATGTATATATATTGTATTATTACATATATTGTGTGGGTGGGTAGGTCACCTACCGTAGGTGCTAAAATTGAGAATTTTTGATAACATACCGTATGAATGACCTCCATGTGTTGCATGTATGGATTTCATTACGCTAAATGCACACTTTAGAACAATGCAGTGCCAAGATTCTGCTCACATATTATCTCATATTTACAAGTGCTGATAAAACAGGGTTATACAATTTATTTATTATGCATACATATGTATAAAAGTTAGTCCAAGTAGGACGCTACGTTTTGGGAAATTTACCGTGACGTACATTAGTTATCACCAAATAAAAATATGATTGACAACATTACACAATTTGTGTACATTTTTTAAGAGCATTTTAGTTAAATTTTATTCTAATTAATTATTGAAATCGGGATAAATTAGTGAAAACATTTTACATATTTGGCATCCTTTTTGACTCACCGTGCAATACGCATAGAATAAACTTTTTTATCACCGCAAATTTGTATGTAATATGCCGACAGAATTTTGTCGCACTTTTCAAACTATGCATGTAATATAATACGATATAATTTAATTCGCTAACTAAATATGTACATATAATAATGGTATTTATTTGTTCCCATCACGTCAATTAATTACATTCGACAAATAAGATCAAACCCTATCGAGTAGGAAATACTTGATCTTACGTACATGCTTTGATCACAATATGTAATGAATAATTTCATACAGCATTTCATCACATACTTAGATAAATAGAAAAATCGATACCTCAAATTACTTAAGTAGTTATAATTTTAGCAAATAGTCCTTCAATTTCTCTTTGAAGCTTACATAGTTCATTTCATTCTTCAACTCATCTGATAACTCATTCCATAACAATATTGGCCATTTCAACTCTAATGTATCATATGGAACTTGTCCCTTTGGAAAACCCATATTACAATAATACATGTCATTAAGACTTCATTAAGACTAATAACACGATTAGTTACACTGCGAGTTTTGACAAAATCCAGACCAAAATATCGTAATGTCTTCCATACACCAAACTTTTTAACTCTATATTGCGTATCTCGAAACATATCGTGCTCTGTGAAAACTAATGCGAAGTGGGCGTGGCTTCTTTCCCTTCGGATCCCGGATACAATTATCCGCAACCTCCCCGCTGAAATGTGGTGCAATTATCTTTATGATGTCTTTTGCACTTTGCAATCCCTCTGACGATTCAGGTACTCCCATATTGGACATCCGAATTATTCTTCTCTTTTGTTCTTGTATTTCTTCTCTGACGGGCAAGAACTCATTATGAATATCAGCTGTCAGCAGCTTCACTTTCTCCTCAAGGTCATCCTGCCTCTGCTCAACACGTGTCACTTTGTCAATTAATTTCCTCATCTCTCCCAGCATCAATCCCTGGAATTGGCAAGGTTTCTTGTCCAAAACGGCTCCTACCATTGTCATTAATGTCATTGGGCCAACTGGTCATCTCCATGTCCATCCATCAGTGAGGCTATTTGTGACGTCATCCTGTTTCAAATATAAGATTGTGCCAGTATCTTTGAGCCAATTTTCAACACCACAAGGAAAAATGTCCCCCTCGACACGGACATATACCCAATTAATGTGACTTATCTTTATTCGATAATAATCGAATATATAATGCTGCATAACTTATTTTCTAACTGAGCAATGGCTGCCAACGTATGCTCACAGATTTTGACGAAACTAATGTCAATCGATCAGAAATATAATTAATATGATAATGGGACCTCTGCCAATGTTCAGGTTTCGCGGAGATCTGTGCAGCCAAAAATGCGCAATGTTCAAGATTAGTGGAGATATTTGAATAAAAATTGGAGAAAAAACGCATTTTTCCCACTTTGGATGCAAACATCTCTGCCAAACCTCCTCATTGGCAATATTTGCACTTGCAACTTCCACACTAATTATACTTGTGGTCGAGGTTTAACACCTGTTCGGTGCAAATCCGCGATCATACGCTGGGAGACCTGCAATGTCAGTCAGTATATATAACGGATGGAAATCGTAATCAGTATGTATTTACAGTCCTGATTATCACTCAATGCTTAAGGTAAAGAATAAATACGACTAGCCTTTCCCACGGGACGGGACAATCCCGTCCCGTCCAGATCGGGACCGGGATGGGACTCGGGACGGGACAAGATTTTTCGTCCCCAAGCATCTCGGGACGGGACGGGTTTCGGGACGGGACGTCCCGATCATAAAAATTTTTCGCAAAACTCGTCCACGTTATTGCTAAAACCGACAATACTTGCATTTCCTCAAAGGAAATGCATATTTTTTATTATTTCGAATTGGTATTAAACAAAATAGCTTTACTCAATAGTTTCTATAGATTCTATAATTTTAGGTACATTATACGAAACAATTTAATATTACACCAAAACCACTTAATAATGATAATAAAAATAGTCAAAATAACAATAATAATAATCATAATACACTGTAAAAAATCCCGTCAAATCCGGTGTAGTCACATAAATATACACTCCGTTCTGGTATTGATTCGGTAATAATTTTAATTAAAGGAACTAAAAGCATAGTGATCGATCCCGAAAAATGTAAAGAAACGGGAATAACAAAAAAGGTGAACCACGTCACATACGTCATATACGTCAAACGTCATACGTCATAGTCAGACGTCGGATATAAATGATCGATAAAACCCCAAAATATGAATGAAATATTACCGTAAAAAAACCCAAAATATGACCATAAAAATGACTTTATTTTTTAATTTTTTATTTGTTAAGTGCTCTATTTTTATTAATAAGACAAGTCCCTAAAAGCTCAGACGACAAATCAAGCTTCATCTTAAAATTTTTGGGTCTCAAAGCTCGGCGTCAGAAAAGTGCTATTTATTCACACGAAAGAAAACCTTTTTTACTTAATATTGACAAATCCGCAGTTTTTGCGATTTTCTGGTAAAGTGCTATCTAAATCTTAGAATTTGCCAAAAAGTCATAAAATGAGCAAAATGAACGAAAAAATCGGGAAATATGATCGAGAATATGAATATGACCCAAAACCCGAAAATATGACAAATATGAGAAAATATGCTTTGCCCTACGTGACCTACTAATGACGGTAAACATTCTCAGAAAGTCTGAGGGCTGTGAGTCAATAAATGGAAAAAGTCATATCTCATTCATATCCGCCATATGGTCAGTGGCGGCTTAAGCTATCGCGGGGCCCTTACAGAGCCGTCCCAAGACATTGTACGGCCTGGATTCCTAGGGTTGTGTACGGCCTATTCGTTTATGGTAGATTTTCAGAAATCTCGTTTCAGAAATTGACAATTTGTTTGCTGGGGGCGGGGGTGGGGGTACCGAATACACATTGCATTAATTTTATCGCCCCCATTTTTCGTTAATAAAAAATTGGGATTGGGTTACTGTTTAGCACAGATGGAATTGGGTAGATTTCATAGTTTTTGCATACACTTTTCCATAAACAAATTTAATTATAGCAAAAGAAAGCTTGCACAACTCCCACCTGGTATACACCTAAAATAATTCTCTGTGAAGCAACGTTTTGAAAATCGTTAAAATCCACTTTATTCCAAAATTTAGCGTTGTTAATAAAGATCAAGAATTTTACAAGATATCGAAGTGTTTACAATGAGTTCGGCTAACCGTCAACCGTACACATATAAAATCACGTTGAAAAAAATTACCAGTGATAGCTGAGCAATGAGTTACCAACAAGGGACGCTCACGACCTGTCGTTCGTGTCCAGGGTACTCACTATGTTTTTTAGAATCTACTAGGACCCTAAATGAAGGTTCCATTCTTATTTCCATGTGAAACTCATATTTGGCGCCGTGGCGTGGCGCCAAATTCGCCAAATTTGTAGGTTTTTATTTTTAGAACGGCTATAATTTTTGAAATCCTGGGCGGATTTTCAAAAAAATTTCCAAAACTCACGAAAAAGAGTTCAACTATCGCATGCCATCAAGTTTTTCAAAATATTGATTGTTTCAATTTTTGTCAAAATTTTGAGATTTTCTTACACATTGGAATTCGGCGAAAAAATCTTAAAAATATCACAAGAATAAAAAATTTTCATTTTTTATTTATTTCTTCGAATTTTGACCATTGTGATCATTTTAAGCCCAAAATTTTTAAAATCCCGCGGAAATTGCAAAAGTTATGGAGGTTTGAAAATGGTTGAAAACGCAGATTTTTAAGTTTGGCGCCACGCCACGGCGCCAAATGAGTTTTACACGGAAATATGATTGGATCCTTCATTTAGGATCCTAGCAGATTCCGAAAAAAATAGTGGGTACCCTGGACACGAACAACAGGTCGTGAGTGTCCCTTGTAAGTAAAGAATTATGACCTTTAACGCGCTTCTGACCCGTTAACCACAGCAACCCAGCAATTCGATTCAAAATTTTTTAAATTAAATTCGATGATATTTGATAATATCGATGCTAAGAATGTAGCTGCAAACCATGTTCAGCCTAGATTATTCTTTGAGCACTTGAATTTGAGAGACAAACCTTTTAGAAGGAACATTTAGTGCAGCATTTGAGCAGATGCGCGAAACTCAGAAAGTTATTGGCGCCGCAAGTTTGCGAAAACGTTTGATTTTAAAGCGAAATATGTGTCCCGTTCAGGTTCGTCCGCTTATTATGCTGTCATTGTCTCATAACGCAAAGAAATTTCGATTCAATTTCTTCTGATAAATCCCTGCATTCGAATATGCGGTG